TTGATCACCCATTAGTAATAATTAAAGGTTAATAATACTGAGCTGGAGTTCTTACTAAGCAGGACAACAAAGGTAGCCTAGTTAATCTGGCCAATCTCTAGACTTGTAACCAATAGGGTTTTGTATATAAACTACTCAGTCCCAAGTCTTGAGTTAAGCTTTTCCAAACTTAGTTACTGTATTTTACAATTCCTAACACATGGTTGAAGAAGAAGGACAAACTCAAAAAGAAGCAGAAGATCAAAACATGAAGTGTACTGGTTTGCAAATTTACACCCTCAGGTGTGACTGGGGACAGTCACATTCTAAAACACTTGGGAGATGTCACACTCACACAACATGTATGTTCTGATATGTTCCAATTGGAAGGGCTCAGTCACATCAAAGTCACATCATCCTCATTGAAGAGTTCTGATTTTGGTTACTATCAGATCTTCTTGATTTTATTTAATTCTTTGGATTACATAATCACTTTCTTTATGTAGTTAGTTCTTTCCTATTTGGAAGAGGGAGTTTTGACCAGAGCCCACAATGACACTAGAGGGAACAAGCCCACCAAAACCTTCCCTCTCATTTTGGAGCCTACTGTAAGGGGTGGTGCCTCTGTTCTAAAGTGTCTGGGTTGTTTTTGTCTTGATCTTGGTCTTGAGGGCCTTGCCTAGCTTGTTTTGAATCGAACCGACTGTTTTGACACACAAGAAGTACAATGATGTGGCCACTAAGAAGAGGATCAAGAGAAGCACTGTACTTTGATGGCAGCAAGCTTGAGGAACTTCTGCAGTTCTTTGAAGACATTGAGATGTTAGCCACCAACTTCTAGAAGGACACTGAGTGGATGTGCAAGCAAGTGACATACTATACAGCAATGAGCTGTAGCAGTTTGTGGGCTACTGTGCCTGAGTTGAAGAAGAAAGGAGTGCACGATTGGAGCATTGTGAAAGAGGAGATCAGAAAGCTCTATCCAGAGCTGATTGATGGTCAACACTACACAAGAGCCAATATCACACAACTAGTCAATGTGCAGAGTGAGAAGGAAATGACAGTGCAGACAGAGTTTGGCTGCTACCACTGCAAGTTCCAGGTGCAAGCAGAGTACTTGAAGGAGCAAGGGAAGATGTCAGCATATGAGTTAGACTGTGAGTTCTGGAGAGGGATCAGAGGGACACTGAGGATGAACCTGACACAATGACTGGAGATTCTCTATGTGGACAAGGATGTGAGCAAGCTGTTCAAATTCACTGATGTAGTCAGGCTAGCAGACCATGTTCTTCTAGCAGGGCAGACAGAGGCAGGCCAAGACCAGACAGTGACGTTGCTAAAGGAGAAGCCAGAGAAAGAAGCAGGAGACAAGTATGCAAAGATTGTGAGGAAGCTCAAAGAGTTACAAGCCCAGGTCAATGAAGCAAGCAAGTCCAGGAAGATGCTGATGAATCAAGCATGCAAAACTGACCAATCTGCTGATTCTGTGAAATCCGACCTGAAGCACAAGAGGACCTGCAACTTTTGTGGAAAGCAAGGACATTTCATACATGACTGTAGGACTGTGAGCAAGTACACTCAGAGGGGGAAGTGTATGAGGTTGGGGCAGAAGATTGTGTTGATGAGTGGGGCATTCATGCCAGCCAGTGTAGAGGGAGCAATGTTGAAGGAGTGTATAGACTGATACTACAAAGACAAGCCTGTGTTCACAGTAGGCACAATTGATGAAGCAAAAGATAGGTTGAATGTAAGTGAGGGAGAAAAGCACAAAGCTGTTCTTGGAGCAGATTTGGATTTGGAGGTGACAAGGTTGGAGGAATGCTTGAGGGATGTGAAGAGACAAAGAGAGGAGGCAAGGACTATGAAGGCTAACACAAAGCCAGTCAAAGTCAGACTGAAGTGAAGCACTGAGTCGAGCAAGATCATCAAGCAGGTCTTAGACTGGATGATGGACAGTGTTGTCATGTTGACACACTGCAAGTTGTTTGTAATAGCTCCAGAGCTCGAGTGCCAGTATGCAGCTAAGCTTATGAGGACGACTCAGATGTATGATGAAATGCTGAACAAGGCTGGAAGTGGACCTGCAAAGGTAGAGGAGGAAGAGATGAGTGAGGAAGCAAGGACCAACAGCAGAGAAGATCAGCACACAGGTATGAGTGTTGTATGCAAGGACAACAAAGCACAGTCAAGCCCAGCAGCAGAGCTGAGAACAAGCAGATTGCACAGGAAAGCAGTGGATTATATTGGATTGAGTCAGATTCAAGCTGGAGAACGAGAACGAGAGCAGAGCAGAGGAGCAAGTGTGGCAAACAAGGCCAGAAGTGTACTAGTGAGGACAAGGGAGAATAGTACAATGGATGAGCAGTAGAGGCTGTTGTGAAGGGCAGTAGTAAGCTGGATGAACAAGGTTGGAAGTGCATCTGCAAGGATCAAGTGGTGAGACAATGAGAATCAGTCAAGCCCAGTGAGAATACTGAGCATGAGCAGATTACACAGGAGGACGTCAGAAGCTGTCAGATCAGAGCAGTGTTGAGCAAGGGAGTGTCAGATAGGCACCCTAGTCAGCAACAACAAGGCTGGAAGTGTACCAGTCAGGCTAGCAACAGTAAAGCTGAACAACAAATTGGAGACTGAGAGCTTACTGGACCAGGGAGCTGTTATGAATGTGATGTGCAAAGACGTTTGGAAACACTTGGGAGTACCAAAGGAGCAAGTGTGGACAAACCTCAGGCCAGCAAATGCAGGATCAATTGTGATTGAGGGTGTCATTCTGAGACTCAAGGTGTCAGTAGGTGGAATATCAATGGTGATGCTGGTTCATGTAGTGAAGGACACAATGTTCGACATGATAATTGGGAGACTGTTCTTCGTGTTAACTGAGTGTGAGACAAAGGATTTCAAGGATGGTAATCAGATTTTGACCTTGACAGACCTAGCAGATCAGAACTGGAAGTGTCAGGTTGAGACCTGAGCAGCTGTTGGATGAAACCCACTACTCACTACTATTATCATCTATGTTGGAGTTGGAGAGGATTGGTCTGGCAAGCCTTTGGCCTTGGTACAGGTTACATTCTCTTTACTCTAACATTCCCTTATACCCCTTTCTTTTATGGACACTCATTCTTACTTGAGACTCACACTCTTTGTTTCTTTATCTTACTTTGATTGATACCTTTTATCCTTACCCACACTCCTTATGCTTACCCTTTATTATTGCTTTTCAAAGCAAGTGACTGAGGACAGTCACTATTTAAAGCTTGGGGAGGTGAAGAGTTCTGATTTTGGTTACTATCAGATCTTCTTGATTTTATTTAATTCTTTGGATTACATAATCACTTTCTTTATGTAGTTAGTTCTTTCCTATTTGGAAGAGGGAGTTTTGACCAGAGCCCACAATGACACTAGAGGGAACAAGCCCACCAAAACCTTGCCTCTCATCATGTTAGCAATCCTTCAATTATGTCATTATTGTCTACACAATAGTCTTGGTTGCTCAATTCAGACTAGTTGGGTTCCAGACTCTAGTTCTGATTCACAAA